CCGCAGGGAAATTGGCCACACTACAAACCCTTCTCCATTTTCCTCTCAAGATTTTGGGTATTCATGCACATGCACCTGGCATGAGTTTTAAGCTTTCACGTCCAGGACTCAAACAGTGGTCAACTATGTGGGAGTCCAGCAATGAAACCATTATGCCATCTGCTGGTCCTCCAATTATTTCATACAAAAAATTAGTATGCTTATTTACTTCATAAGCATGAATTCTTCGCAAAAGTCAGTTTTAAATTTTTGGTTAATTTATAGATCTCTTTATCATTTATTTTGTAGCTCAGGTTGACAATTCTAAACTTAGTTTCACATGCAAAATAGTCTATAAGTATGATGCATAATTCATGGATTTACCTGATAAGAGCTTTTTCTCCAAAGTACTCTCCTTTTTGCAATGTTTTTATCAGCTGTGGTTGATCGTGGCCCTCTGTACTTTGTGTGACTTTTACCTAAAATATGTTAAATGATTGGAAAGAGAGAAGAAAATGAAAATCTGAACACCTGAGCACATACCCAATCAGCAAAACCTCCACAACTATATAAACCTGAGCAAGGAAAAAGACACAGCTTTGGTTTAACTTTGCAGTAATCAGGAAATGGGTCACTTTCAGATCATTCTGACCAACAAAGGAAATCCCGTGGTTCAATATGATCAAATTATTCCAACCTCTATAAGAAGAAAATTCTCCATTCAAACTCCAACTTCTGAAGTTTTTCTTTTCCTTTTTGTTTTTAGAGAGATTTTTTGCTATAGGTTTGCTAGAAGGTACGTGCACTCATCAGAGAGACAGACAGAAAGCAAATCACTGCTCACAGGGGAGGGCCACACCACAATCCCTTCTCCATTCTCCTCTTGGGATCTGGGGCACACACATGCACGCACCCAGAGTGAGCATCAAGTATCCGGGTCCAGGACTCAAAATTCCAAACACGGTTGGCCATGTGGGAGTCCAGTGACATAACCATTACACCATCTGCTGGTCCCATTCCAAAGTTATTTTTTAATGTGATCTAGAGATTCTTTCCTAGAGATCCTCAGTGCAAAGTACAGACCTTGGATCCCTAGATTGATCATATACTCATAGCTAGGAGAGACATAGGACCAAATCTAGCCATCTCATACACAAGTAAGCTAGGTCCAAAATCAGTCAAGTGATCTGAAGAAGTTCCTATTGCAGCTGGAACCTAGCACAAGCCACCTGTGGCCCCTACCCCAAACCCAATGCTCATACAGATTCCATGGGACTCTTCTGGTGCAAGCACCTTTATCGGCTCAATGTAGAGGACTTATGCTACGACGTGAAATATTGCTGCCCTTATGGTAAACAGACTTAAAATAACGTTTTAATTTACTCTAAATAAACGTGAATTAATATTTACCTTTCCTTTTGCCAAAATGAAAAAGGTACTTCCTTCCTCGCCCTCTCTAATGATGTAATCTCCTTTGTCGTAGTATTCCTGTTGGGATGGAGAGATGAAATGTTAGATCCACTGGAGATGTGCAGACAAAGACATAAAAGAAATAGGGTTCCTCATGCCTTTGAAAGGAGCATCCCACACCTGTTTCTTTTTTTCATTTTTCTCTTTTTTGCTTATCGTAACCGAAATCTTTTCTCACACTGCAGTCATAAGCTGTGGGAAAGTAGGAAGATTTTGCTTTATTATCTACACTTATACATATATTTTTTTTCTTTCACAGAGAAAATTTACCTGGAATACTGAATCTCAGGCATGGAGACCAAAGACAGGAAGAGGCGCAGGAGCCAAAACCCTTGCAGATATTCAGGTAGGTTTTCACCTACAGAATCTAAATATCACCTCGTTAGTAATCATCGACAGTCTAAAAATTGGGTTTAGAGTTTAGAAAAAGAACACGTGAGTATGTGATAAATTGGAAATGTGTTTTTCTATGGATATTGGGACTGTTGACCTCAATTTTGAATTTCTTAAAGAGCAACTGCTTAAAAAGAGCCTACATACATACTAAGCTGTGTTGTTTGTATTATTTCTAGAGGTCTGTCATAAAAAATTGACACTAGAATTTTTTACATGTAAATTCTGTTCTTTTTTTTTTGTGGGATCTCGCTTCTTTTTTTTTTTTTCTCTTTTTTTATTTTTTTTTATTTTATTATCATCATAATCTTCTTTCTATTACACTAGATTACATATAACTTTACATTGACTTCCATTGCTTTTTCAAAAGGGAATGCCATGCATGTCAGTCAATACAGAGATATCAATCTCCCCGCTTTATCATTCAATATCTTTTCGATGCTTTTCCCAATAATTATTATTATAATTTTTTTAAACAGTCAATCACTATTTCTCATTTTGCTTATTAAAAAGACTTCACCCATCATGAAATACTTTCCAGACCGGTTCAGTTGAGAATACTATACATGTCATCATCAACAGGTAATAAACCATATCTATTTCTCATTAACATCCTGCCTCTCTATTGTTCACTGCTGTCTTTATCCTCTTCTCTCTCCTTTTTTTTTTTTTATACTTTGTTTTTTATTATAAATTTTTTCTCATCACAACACACATATGAATTTTCCATCCAAAATACACTGTGCATTGGCTCAATCAAGCACATCAACATATATGTTCTCAGCAAATGATTTCCCAATTTTTGTGTCCTGCATACCTTGCCTTTTGTTTTGCCATCCTAGGTTCCCCATCCCCACCCTCTGCCATGTCCCATCTTCCTCCTCCATTGTCCCTGACATTCATGATTGCCCTCAATGGCTTCCGCCCCCCCCCATTCAATTGTTCTACCAATGAACTCAATTAGTCTAAGTATATCCACTAGCTAGCACAGCTGACATATCCTTACACATGTATCCAAATCTGATCCTAGGCATAAACCCCAGGGAGTAGAATGAACATATTATAAAGTAGACCCCAGTTGTGTCCATACAACTCTCTTCAGTCATCAAATGTGCATTTTTTTTTCCTCCTGCTTATTACTTTTTTTATATTAAATTATATTGCCTAACACTCATTCCCTGAGTATCATCACAACACACCAAGTGTAGTTTCCCATCTAGGATAAACTACATAGTGTCTTAATCAAGCATGTCGTCACCAATACTGTTCCATTTCTACTTTCATACATATAAATATGTTTTTTATCCTATGTTTGACCCTCAGCCCTTTCCCCCTCTCCCAATTACTCTATCTCTGCTATAGACAGCTATCCTCCAGAGGGGTCATTGAAAATGCGATACCTGCGAGTAGAGGGAGAGGGGTCACGAGTCCAAAGTTTTTAACAATAGGGAAAATAGATTCCATTCAAGGTTGGATCAAGTGTGGGTCTCGTGCAGTTCCGCAACTGTAGGTGAGTCTCCATGGAATACAGTTTCAGGAAGGCGGTTCTGGCAAGCAGAGTTGACCATCAGTTGATGCGGCACAGCAGCCATCTTGTGGTTAGCAG